GGAAAGCTTAAAAAAAATCCAAGTAGGCTCCCTTAATGTGGATGCACTACCTTGACTTAGAGCCCTAGGAAACACTCTGACTAAATATTAATTATTTTGACTCTGGGGAGTAGTTATTTCGAAATAGCAGCAGTGGAGAGTCCACACTACCGCTGTTTCAAAATAATTATTTCAAAATAAGCATTTTTCCTTGTGGAAAGCAGGAGTTATTTCAAAATAACCAGCCCCTTATTTCAAAATAACGGGCTTGGTAGTGTAGATGCTCCACTTGTTGTTTAGAAATAAGGGGCGTTATTTTGAAATAACTCTCTAGTGTAGACCAGGGCTTAGTTTACTCTTCCACACACAGAGAGTAACAAGTATACACTCACATCTTGAGTGCAGTCTTATATAACATGCCTTTTCCTGTTCCTGGCACCCTTTGTAGGTTATTGCCCTTGCTAGGTAAGCTTTCGATGGCTCAGCCCTTCTGCCAGGTCACACTAGTCATAATGGATGAACCCCTTCCAGAGAAACAGAGTTCAACAAACTGTCAGCCCTCACCAAGGTTTTCAGCCCCATCTCACTGGCTGTTAAATCGTGCCCTTCATTTGACCTTCTAATCCAGACTTGTTGCATCTTTAGGCTGCTTTCCCAGTGGCTGATGGGTGAACTTGGGCCTGTTCACTACCCTGCATCCCAACCTGTGGACCCTATAAACACCAGCCATTTTTTCCTTGGTTGGTTGCTGCTGCGTTCCCTGGGTCTTTCTCTCGTCCCCCCTCTCCCGCCCCCGTCTCTTTTTTTAAAAAAAACTTGTGTTCATTACTTTACAGGAACATTGAGGAGTCCTGTAGCACCTTAAAGACTAACAGATGTATTTGGGCAGAAGCTGTTGTGGGTAAAAAGCCACTTGGTCAGCTGCTTGGAACTAGACCTCCTAGCACATGCAGCATATCAGGCTCTTTTGACCAGAGTGAAGTAGAGCCCAGCACAGGAGATATATTTTATAATCCTGCTTCCTATTACAGAATCCTGTGGGATTCCAGTCACGCTATAGGGTGTTAGAGTAGAGTATCTCTCCTGATAAATCAGATTTCCTAGATCTTCTATAATTTTTGTGGTCCTCTGGACACACTCCGGTTTGTTCACTGCTTTCCTAAACTATGGTGCCCAGAACTGGCTACAGCACTTCAGCTGAGGCTTCATCACTGTCAAATGTGTCTTACAGATGACACCTCACATTATTAGCCTTTTTTTGTAATCGTGTCACATTGCAAGCTCATTCACTTCAAGATCGCTGTAACCTCAGATCTCTTTCAGTAGTATCTAGCCAGTTCTTCTGCATTTTGTATTTGTGCTGTTGATTTTTTTTTCTTCCTAAGTGAAGTACTGTGTTCATCTGTGGTGATTTTCATTGTGTTGATGTGGCTCTGTTGCTATGGTTCATAGTCTGAAAGGACAGCTGGTGTCTGCAGCAGCATTGCAACAGGATCACCTTGTGCATTTGGACTTGCTCTAACTTGGCAAAGGTCCCTCTGCTGCTGGTCATCTGAGCCCACTCAACCAGGGATCAGGATTCTTTGGCAGCCTTCTGGTTTGACATGTGCTCAAGGAACATATATAAAGTCATAACATGGTCCACATGTTTACATCTCACTATTCCAGTGCTCAGCAAGTCAGAAACACCACTGAGCTGCAGCCATCACAGCCACAAACTCCTCCCTGCCTCTGTGAGTACTACTTGGAGGCACCTAATGTGGAATGGACATGAGAAATCACTTGAACAAAAGACTGTTATCTGTTTCGTAATGTGTTCTTCGAGATGTGTTGCTTATATCCATTCCACGACCTGCCTCCTTTCCCCACTGTTGGAGTTCATGATGAGAATAAACTGAGGGTTAGGGAAGTATGCAGTGCTCCTTATGTGGCTCCCCTGCCCTTAGTTTCTTTTCTAGTGTCACTTATACGATACTGTCACCAGAGCCACTTCCCTTCAGGATATTGCTGGGGGGGAGAGGGGGAGCAGAATTTCTGGCAGTGGTGCATGTAGCGAGCATACACATTATGTGGAATGGACATAAGAAACACATCTGAAAGAACACGTTATGAAAAGGTAACTTGTCTTTTTTTTTCATCCAGACTTGTGTTCCTTCTTTTTATTGTAATATTGTTTGCATCAAATATCTGTTCATAATTAACTTTTAGAGTGAAAACTGAAGCAAACTAGGCATGAAGCAACTCAGCCATCTTAATTAACTTTTAGAGTGAAAACTGAAACAAACTAGGCATGAAGCAACTCAGCCATCTTGATGTCAACCATTATTAGTTCTCCTTCCCTGCTAAGCAGGGGATGTTGGATTTTCCTTCATCTTTCTCTTGTTTTTAATGTTTTTATAGGCCCTCTTTTTACATTTTTTGTTTATAAATTTTGTGGGTTTAGTTTTGTTGTTTTATTTCCCTACTCTTTTGGAAAAATTACTAAGGATGTACAACTTTTTCTGGATTTATTTTTAATTATCAGGTTGTTAGAGTTTCTGCTGTTGGCCTTATATTATTCTTCCTACCCTTCCTTCATATTGGAAAAGTTTGCTCTTGTGTCTTTCAATACTGTTTCTGAAAAACTGCCCGCTTTCGTGAACTCCTCTTCCCTTTAGTTTTTCTTAGACTCATAGACTACTAGAACTGGAAGATACCTTGAGAGATCATTAAGTCCAGTCTCCTGCCCTTATTGTAGGACCAAGCACGGTCTATATCATCCCTGATAGATGTCTAACATGCTCTTAAATATCTCCAGTAATGGAGATTCAGCAACCTTCCTAGACAGTTTATTCCAATGTTGAACCACCCTGACCGGAAGTTTTTCCTAATGTCCAACCCATACCTCCCTTGCTGCTGTTTAAGCCCATTGCTTCTTGTCCTATCATCAGAGACCAAGGAGAACAATTTTTCCCCCCTCCTCCCTTTGATACCCTTTTAGATAACTGAAAACTGCTATCATATTCCCTCTGTCTTCTTTTTTCCAAATTAAACAAGCCCAATTCCTTGAGCCTGGCCTCATAGCTCATGTTTTCTAGACCTTTAATCATTTTTGTTGCTCTTCTCTGGACCTTCTCTAATTTCTCCACATCTTTCTTGAAATGTGGTGCCCAGAACTGGTCACAGTACTCCATTTGTGGCCTAATCAGTGCAGAGAAGAGCGGAAGAATAACTTCTCATATCTTACTCACAACACTCCTGTTAATACATCCCAGAATCATGTTTGCTTTTTTTGCAAAGGTGTCATACTGTTAACTCATTTGTGGTCCACTATGACCCCTAGATTCCTTTCTGCAGTACTCCTTCCTAGACAGTCGCTTCCGTATGTGTGAAGCTGATTGTTCTTTCCTAATTTCTTCCCCCCAGAACTTTAACAAATTCAGAGAACTGGTATGTAAAGTACTTATACGGCTTATCTCATTATTTTTGACTCATGAATTCTATCATTCTGTGTTCTCTGTCATCCAAATTGGCTTCCATCTTCAGGGTCGTAACTAATTAATCCTTGTTAATTAGAATCAAGTCTAACATACTTGCTCTCTGGTTGCTTCCTCCACCTTCTGCAACAAGAAGTTGTCCCAAGTATGTTCTAAGAATTTCCTGAACATTTTTTTTCCTTTGCTGACTGACTTTTCAAACAGATGTCTCTATAGTTGCATCCCCCCATTACTATAGGGCTTGTGTTTTGGATATTTCAATCCTAGCAATACCTCATCCATTTCCTTCTGATTTAGTAACTTCTAGTGCACCTGTACCACAGTGTTGCCCATTTTCCCGTCATTTATGATGATCTTCTCAGCCATACCAATCAGTATCATTAATGCCCACATCAATGAGCAGTTTGGGTTATTGTTGGAAGACCACAGAAGCCTTAGCAGTTGTTCCACAAAGTCTCAAACATGGTCTCCAATCAGACAGCAGATCTCCTGTGACATCAGGTCAGAAGATAGATGCCTCGGTGGGGAGTCCCTACACATCACCTGTCTGTATCTCCTCCTCTGGGTCTGGCAGGCATGAGTTTCCCAGTCTTGGGGTGAGTTGGCGCCTCTTTCTCAGCCATTTGGGTCTGCCTATGTTCTCCTATTTCCTGTGCAATATACTAGTTTTTGACCTTTGATGGAAGCAGGATGTGTGTTTGGAGTGGAGCACTATCTATGACCTAAGGTGGCTAGCAGCCACTCTTCTCCTAACAGAGCAGCTGGTTCTCCTTTTTCATCTGGTGCTGCTGTAGTCTGTTCCAGCTGGCTGCGTTTTCCATCCTGGACATCTTCAGCTGAATCCTGTCAGTAATGTTTTTGTGCTCTTGAATACTATGTAAATGAGTCAGACCTCCTCCTGCCTTACTCTTATCTGATTCCTGAGGAACTCCACCAACAGATGCCTTCCTGCTTGCTTTCCTCGGCAAGGACATGCAAGCTGCATTCCCAGGAAGTCAAGATCCTGACCTGTGTGGAAGCCTACAGGGTCAGGATGCATGTCTAGACATGGACCCCACAGGTACAGGCTGAGGAAGCGCTAACAATGATGTTGAAGATTCTTTCTTGTGGGGCATCTAAAAAAATTAAAGGGAAAAGTCCTCCTTCCTTTGCTGGGAAGCACAGCTATCTAACTCTTCATCTTTTGGCTCCCAGTTGTCTCACCAGCCATGAGCAAGATATTTTATTTTTGGTATCAGGGCAGAAACCCAGAGAAAAGTATTTAAAACTTTCATATTTAGCCCTGTCCCCAAGCCAAGTGGTAGCATTGTGATGAATGACATTAGTTTTAGCTGAAAAAGGGAGTGGTTTGTGCAGTTTGTGCTTCTTTAGTTATGTAGGACTTCTGCTGTTGGATAATGCCAGTTGGATAGTAAAGATGAATGATTTGTAAAGTGTTCTAATATAAATGTAAGCCTTTGTGCTCACATTTTCTCTCTCCTTTACATTTAGAAAAGATTACACAGCGTTATGGAAATCTACCTGGGGACCTGCACATGATAGAGCTGGAAAAAGGAAGGACTGGTTTGGGACTTAGCCTAGCTGGCAACAAAGACAGATCCAGGATGAGTGTTTTCATAGTGGGAATTGATCCAAATGGCGCAGCTGGAAAAGATGGCAGGTTACAGATTGCAGATGAGTTACTAGAGGTAAGTGTCTAGCAATTGTACTTAAGGCCAAATATGGTGACTCAAACACAGTAGACTGGTAGATTTCTGGTGTATTATATGCCCTTAATATTAACTGCATAGCTTTGGAGTACCAAAATAATTTATTTGAAATCACATCATTCTGGCATGTGTTTAATGGTTGACATTGGGAATTATTTTCTTCAACCAGACCAGTAATAATGTTTGATATACAATAAGGCTACGTCTAGACTGGCCCCTAATTCCGTTTTCCGGAGGATCTCTTATTCCTACTTTCAAGGAATAAAGCCCTTTTCCGGAGGATCTCTTATTCCTACTTTCAAGGAATAAGAGATCCTCCGGAAAAGGGCTTTATTCTGGAGGATCACGCCAGTCTAGACACTTTTTTCCGGCTTTTCCCCAAGCCGGAAAAGAAGCGGCGGACATGTTTATTTAAATCCCGTGGGGGATATTTAAATATCCCGCGGATTTCCCTATTATGACTTACCTGCTTTGCATGACTTTTTCGGAATTAGGGGCCAGTCTAGATGTAGCCTAAGTGAAGAAAGCAGCTTTTGGTATCATGGGGGCAGAGTATGAAGGAATTAGTTTGTGAACTAAGAAAAATACTGTGTCATATAGTGTTCATTTTTCTGAGGCTGTCTTCCTAGTTTCTGTGGACCACTGCATGCTGTTCTCATCACAACTATGTCTGTTATAATAATTATGTACTTTTTATACATCTGTTGCATGAAATGGAAAGGAAAAAAGAAATATGGAACAGCTGTATTTGTATCCTGGGCATTGATGATTTAATAATACATTCAGGCTGCTTTCACATGGTATTCAGTGATATCAGGACCCTCATAGCACAGATGGGATCCTGTTCTAAATAACTTTTTTTTTTTTGGTCTAACATTTAAGATTTAAAAAAATACTTTTTCAGTTAGTTCCCTTGCAGCAGTTGTTCCTATAGCTTTTGCACTCCTTTTCCTTTTGTGTAGAGGGACATTAGCCTTTTGCACAGAGCTGGCCAAGACATGTCCACCAATGCAACTGTCTGGTAGAGGCTGCGAAACGGGGAATGCGAGTGAAGAAGGGATGTGGGAGGGAGGAGAAAGTGAAGCTCAGCAACTCCTGAGAGGCACAGTGTCAGTTCTGAAAAGGTTGATGGAGAAATGATCAGTGGCAGACCAGCAGAAGAGCTATGGGATTCATGCTTGTGGCAATCCACTGAGATGAAAGCATTGAGACAGTGGCTTCAGAAGCTTATTTTTATTACAAGAGACTTTTTCAAAATCACTCCAAATGCCTTTTCATATAGGACTTGATCATGCAGAACCTGAGCACCCTCAACAATAATTGCAGTGCTAAACGGGCATTAAGGGCTGTCAGGCCCACTGATCTAGTGAAGGCCAAGCCTATCACAGAACTTAAAAAAGAGCTAGTTACATTCTTAGAGGATAAGTCCATCAATAGCTATTAGCCAGGATGAGCACGAATGATGTCACTAGCCTCGTTTGCCAAAAGATGGGTATGAGTGACAGGGAGTTGATCACTTGATAGTTACCTGTTCTGTTCGTTCACTCTGGGCACTGCAAGACAGGATAATGAGCTAGATGGGACCCAGTATGCCCATTCTTATGTTCATCTCGCTATTTTTGCTCATCTGGAACCTTCCTGCTAACCATCACCCTCAGCTCCCCTCACACATCTCTGCATACCTTCTTCCATGCTATTTCTATTCTTGTAATTCATTTATTTTCCTCAGGCTCCTATATGCTTGTCTAAAACCTTCTATAAAATAATTCTACAGTACTCTCTCCAAGTGTTCACCACAGCTTTTGAGATTGCATCAACCAGTGTTGCTTTTAAACTGCATTGTCTGAGTAAATGAGCGTCTGATTGTGCAAACACACAGGAGTAACTTTCCTGACATGAGAATTCCCTGTAGCTTCAATAAGACTACTCAAGCAAGTAAAGTCATGCATATGCATAAATGGTTAGAGGATCGAGCTCTCAGTGCCTCAGTGTGGGAATGCTTGTTTATACAGTTCTAGGCACAGTTTTGACAGTGAACAATGAAAAATAATAACTCTTGTTGGATAGAGACAGCTCATTTACTTATAACTGATAGCCTTTTCCTATGACTCTGTTTTATTCACTGCTAGTGAGTCATGAGGTGATCAATGACAAATGGAAATAAATTATATGCCTAAAGGCAAGCCTTTGCATTCCAGAGAGAGACATTTTCAGCACATAGAGAGTACAGCCAGACCTGCAGTTGAGAGACATGTTGTGCTGGAAGGGGCTGCAACTAGAAGAGTTAAAACAAAGTGTTGCACATTGCAGAGTAAATATTGAAAATAATATTTAGCAAGTGATGATGAAAGAAGATAAGTGTATGCTAAAGATCACTTAAGCTGATTAAAAGGAAATTAACATTCAGAGCCATATTTCCTATTCTCCTTCATGTAGATCAATGGACAAATTCTGTATGGAAGAACTCATCAAAATGCTTCTTCAATAATCAAATGTGCACCATCTAAAGTAAAAATCATCTTTATCAGGTAAGAAGTGTCTAATATGTGCTTTCTAGAGATACTAATTTTTAACACAATAAAAATATTTTTACACTAGTTGGGTTTGTTTTGTTTTGTATAAAGTCTTCCTACCGTCACAGCTTTATCACCCAAGTAATTTTTGTGATAAATGTACTTTTAAAGTCCAACAGTTGGATGTTACAAGTTACATATTGTTTGTTTATTTTATTGTCATCTGCATCATGACTGCCAAAAACAAAACAAAGTAAGAAATTAAGCTATCAAAATAGTGAAAAGAAATATGGTGATGCATCTCCATGTATATGTGCTTTAATATGTTCCAGAAGTAAAGATGCAGTGAATCAGATGGCTGTTTGCCCTGGAAAGTCAATAGAACCTTCATCTTCCCCCTCAGGGACTCCAGAGGTAAACTAAACATTGTATGAGTCTGTTCTGTCTGATTAACAGCTTTATTGGTAGAAAAATATTCTATTTTTTGTATTTATTGTATTAGTCTGTTTTATCTGATTAACAGCTTTATTGATAGAAAAATATTCTATTTTTTGTATTTTAAAACAAAAAAAGTGTAAGACCAAATGGGGTTTTTAGCACAGCTTTTGAACATGTTGATCCTGATTCTGCTCTATTTTCAACCATGTAAATAAAGCGTATTTCCAAGAAAGTCATTGAAACGATATTAGTGTAACAGTACTAGTGAGGGGGGGAAACAGACCCGCCATATCTATGTATGCTTGTTCAGTTTTTAAAGATACAGCAAATGCCTATTTTTAAAATACAGCTGTGCACTGCTGAATTGTCTTTCTCTCTCAGGGTGAACCGAGTGCTACAAATCCTGTTACAGCTATAGACTTCAGTGCATATAAAAATCTTCTGCATTTGGAACTTCCCAAGGTAAATTTGTATTTTTAACTAAATTTATATCAGTGCAGGTTTATTATCACAAGGTTTCTCTTCTGTGATTGTCCCTGTGGGAGCAGAGAAACTATTCCTCCCCTTGGAGGGTGAGCTGGACCACAGGAAATTTTATTTTATTGGCAGGTGGTCCCAAAAACTCTTTCTAAAGCAGCAGTTGGGCCCAGAGCCTCTTCAGCATCTCAGCTAGGCCTCCTCCCACATTTTTGAAATCTAGGATGTCCCAGAGCTACATTTCCCAGAATGAATGCACTGTTTGTCTAAGATGCAAAGTTTTCAGTAAATAGTCATAAGGGCCTAGCACAGAAGCTTTTGGAGATTTTGGTGGTCTCGGTGCAATCAAGAAAATGTAAGAAAGGGAGTCAGGAGACAGATATTGGAAGGCCAGCTAGGCTGTACTGAAAAACTAAGTGTGGTGGATGCTCCATGGTACATTTTGGGTTTGCACCCTCTCATTCCTGTGAATTTATTTTGATTGAAAACACAGAGCAAAATTTGGTTAGGACTTACCTGTGACTGTCCAACCATTGTCTAAATTGCTCTCAGTAACTTAATTAGCAGATTGTAAACACCAAATTGTAAAGAAAGCATACCTAGCAATCACGTTTCAGGGTGGTATCTGCTATTTTTGCTGAAACAGACTAACACAAAGAGTTCTAAGGCGTCTTAAAGATTAACAACATTATTTGAGCATAAGCTTTTGTGGGCTTGAGCTCACTTCATCAGATGCATGCATCACACAAGCTTTATGCTCAAATACATTTTTAGACTTTAAGGTGCCACAGGACTCCTTGTTGTTTACACCGAGGAATAATGCCACCAAATATCATACCTCTTGGGGAAGAAAGGAGCAAGGTACTCTATGTACCTGTAGAGGAGGGAAGGAAAATGTTTGCTGTTTTTAATTAACTCAGAAAAGATAGTGGTATGCACTAGAATTAAAGCTCTGAGATTTTAAAGTTGCTGGTTTGTCTATCGTAATTTATTTGTGGGTGAAGAAGCCACGGACAGTTCACCCCCCACATCCCACAAAACATTCAGCACTTTCACAGGGCTACTACTGTTTAACAGTAGTATGCCACCATGCTTACATCAGGCTACAGCTTCAGAACTTTTGGTGTGGCTTCCTTCTGTTTAAGAATTGCACAAATGATTCACTGTTAAAATCCATTGACATGTAGGATGCTACAGATTAAAATTAAAAAGCATTTTAAGCTTATTTAGATTCTCTGTCCTGTTCATGCATTGGAGAAAGTGAGTGGTTTCCAAGTTAATCTTTATTTTTTTCCCCACACTTTGAGACTTCATGAAGCCTCATACTTCTATGACATCTACAGACTTCATTAGGCATATAAAAGCCTCAGAGGGGTGGCCGTGTTAGTCTGTAACTTGAAAAACAACACATACTCCTGTGTGAATGTGTGTAGTTCAGTTTTGATAAATATAGCATTCCTGTTCCCACAGGATCAAGGGGGACTGGGTATTGCTATCAGTGAAGAAGATACAATTAATGGAGTGGTTATTAAAAGCTTAACAGATCATGGTGCAGCAGCAAAGGTGAGAATTGTAAATGAATACCCATTCAGGAAACAGGACAACAGGATTGAGCAACAAAATGGCAAATAAAATTTAATGTTGATAAATGTAAAGTAATGCACATTGGAAAAAATAATCCCAGCTATACATACAATATGATGGAGACTAATTTAGCTACAGCTACTCAAGAGAAAGATCTTGGAGCCATTATGGATAGTTCTCTGAAAACATCCACTCGGCGGCAGTCAAAAAAGCAAATAGAATGTTAGGAATCATTTAAAAAAGGGATAGAGAATAAGACAGGGAATATTTTATTGCCTCTATATAAACCCATACTGTGTACAGATGTGGTCTCCTCATCTCAAAAAAGATATATTGGCATTAGGAAAGCTTCAGAAAAGGGCAACGAAAATGATTAGAGGTTTGGAATGGGTCCCATATGAAGAAAGATTAAAAAGATTTGGACTTTTCAGATTAGAAAAGAGGAGACGAGGGGTCTCTATATGATACAGGTCTGTGCAATCATGACTGGTACGGAAAAAGCGAATAAGGAAAACATTTAATTTAGTGAAACCTTTATTATCCAGCACTCTGTTAACCAGAAAGCTTTGTTAACCGGCATTGTCCCGAGCCACAATACTGTCACATCTTCAGGCGCACAGGCCTGGCTTTGTTTACCATGATTGGCTTAACAATTTTTTATTTAAGAAGTACTAGTCATCTTTAACTCAAAATAGAAATGTGAGGCCAACTGCCTCACACTACAAAACCATCAATATTAAAAACTTGAGTTTTACTATTATTGTCCATTGGTTTTTCCTATGTTGATGGGACCCTCTGATAACCGGAATTTTTAGATAACCGGAATACCCTAATCCCGATCGTGCCAGATAACACAGGTTTTACTGTAATAGGTATCAGATGTAAAACAAACAAAAAGAAAATTTTCTTCACTCAGCGCATAGTCAACCTGTGGAACTCCTTACCAGAGGATGTTGTGAAAACTAGGACTTCATGGAGGTTAGGTCCATCAATGGTTATTAGCCAGGATGGGTAGGAATGGTGTCCCTAGCCTCTCTTTGTCTGGAAATGGGTGACAGCAGAGGGCTCATGTGATGATTACCTGTTGTGTTTCCTCCCTCTGGGGCATCTGGTATTGGCTGCTGTTGGCAGACAGGATACTGGGCTGGATGGACCTTTGGTCTGAACCAGTGTGGCCGTTTTTATGTTCTTAAACAGGATGGTGAACCACTGAGGAAGAAAAATCCTTCATTAATCTTTTTTTGATCAATTTTATTTCCCAGGATGGACGGATCAGAGTTGGGGATCAGATTCTTGCAGTGGATGATGAAGCAGTTGTGGGCTTTCCTATAGAAAAGGTACTTTAGGAATATAAGGACTATAGCAGTTGTATGAAGCAAATACAGACCTTTCTTCTATAAAGTTGCAGAGAATCCTGTGCAGGAAATCTTGTGGGGTTATGCTCTGGCTGAGCTGTGGATTCTGTATGTTAGCCTGAGGATGGTGACCACGTGCATTAACACTGATGTATTCCACAGTAACTGTTACTCTCATTGGGAAATCATAATTCCTGACAGAAAATCATTAATCTGTGTAACAGTCCAGAAAGTGACTGTAAAAATGATATTGCGGTGTTCCAGCTGTGTTTAGCTCTGTGGCTTCTAAATAAAATTTAACTCAGTTGGCAGTCCCTTCCCTATTTGCAGCTCTGTAAACTCAAGCTGAGCTTTCTGGCTCATGCTTTATTGTTACCACTAATATACATTCTTCAATCAGAACAAAGTTAACAAATTCTGTTTGATAAAGCACAGCTGGAATAGAATCCATTTCTTTCTCTCTCAGACCTGTAGTTTTGCTGCAGAGTTAACAGGTAGTAAAAATTCATTGTTATGTGTAGAGGAAGCAAATCTGGTTCAGAGTAAGGAACGGATCTCTTACACAAAGCGTCAATTTTACAAAGTAACCTTTCCAATTTGAAATATACTGTGTATAGCCATAATCGTGGGAAGTACTGGGTACCGTCCACTCTCACTGATGTAATTTTGAAGTCAGTGGGATTTGAAGTCAAGGATGTTCAGAATGTGTCAGAATGATGACATAGGGAAGTTAGGACAGAGGGTCAGAGCAGGGTCAAACCTGAGGTTGAATATCAGAGCACTTCACAGTCAAGTTCCAGTGTGGAGTGGGTACCAAGGATCAGAGTTTGAGTCAGGTTTCAGAGACCTGGTGAAGAGGTGAAATTAAAGCCTGGAGTTCAAGAACAGCAAGCGGGAATGGTCACAGTAGCTACAAGAGGTCTGTACAGTTGCCGGCATGATTCCTTGAATTCCCCTTGGAGTTTTATAGAGTTAGAAGCCATGAGGGAGCTTTTGGTTATACTCCTTGAGGAGGGTCTTTCTGCAGTCTTACGTTTTCAGTGGAGTTTGGGTAACTGAGCATGGACATAGCTGATACAGTACAGCAGCCTGGAGATGTCTGCTGCAAGGCAGTTCCAGGCCTATTGGATCTTACGACCTCACAGAACCACTGTACTTTCTTCTCCAATAACCCCACCATCTATTCCATAATTAGTTGTACTATATCTCCCCCTCCCCCAATCAAGCATTTAATTAAAGCCATTGATTGGCCTGCTCGTATTCCTATTGAAGTCCATTTCTGCATTTACTTCAATGGGAGCAGTATTGGGTTCTTCATCAACATTAGTAGTTACTCCTAGTTTTCTGATTTTTTTTTCTAATATCAACCTACAGTTTAGATCCAGGGAGCTAACACATATTATGTGCCATACCCTTAATAGAAATTAGCATAGTTTCACTGAAGTCAGTTAGCTAATTTGGTTTACACCAGCTAATGGCTAGCCCATAGTAATTAACTGTGTTTCCATTCATCATCCAAAATGTTTCTTCTTTATTCCCATCTCCAAGAAATATAGCTGTGTGACATTTTGCTCCTAATCATTGAGCAATTGCTATGACTTGTCTCAGTAAGTATTACTGTCAGATTGTCAGCTGTTCTGTTTACTCTTCAATAAGTTTATCAGTCTGCTGAAGACATCAAAGACCACAGTGAAGCTTACAATCAACTCAGTTGAACATGATAGTCAAACATCTCTTCAAACACAACCACCGCCACCTTGCAGTGCTATCATGGGTGAAGGGAAGAATATCCAGCAGCCTCTGATGGTTCCATCTTCTGGTTCTCCAGAACCAGAGACAATTAAAAGTAAGAACCCTCTTATTAACTCTAGACCTGACAGTAGGCTAAGTAATAAAATAAAGAACCTTGTGAATGTCTTCAAAGATCCTTCTTACACTTCTGGTTCCCAGACTAGTTAGAGTTGTTTTCACACACAATTTGAGAGCAGAAATTGCCTCCTCCTTGCACCGTAACGTTAGTGAGCAACCTAAATGGAGCAAGGAGTCAACAGGACTATGTTCATATTCTACCTTCCCTCTGCTCAGGTGCAGAGAAAGGAAGACAGAGAAAAGTATCTTGCTTCATTCTAAGGGTTTATGCAGGATCTGTTTCCCCAGTGATAGAAAACAGTGTTTTCCAATATTAGAGAACATTTAGAAACTCGTGTTCTTCCTGGGGTAGTATTCTTTGCACCACCAACCTGGGCCAGGATCCGAGTGAAAAAACCTAGCCCTACATACATACCCATTTTCATTGTACCTGTGTTAGTAGAAACATTTATTTATTTAAATATTTTTACCCTGCCTCTCTATTTACAATATTCGAGGTGGCTTACAAAAAATTTTAAACACAGTACAAATATATATAAAAATTATTTATTGTAAAACATGTATTTTAAAACATGTATTTATTTTTCTAGTTTTCCCTTCGCTGCTTGAGTGGAACCTCTGAAAATCAGGTCCCTTTTAAAAGTGACAAGGAGTCCTGTGCGGCACCTTATAGACTAACTGAAGTGTTGGAGCATAAGCTTTCGTGGGCAAAGACCCCCTTCGTCAGATGCATGTAGTGGAAATTCCAGAGGCAGGTATAAATATACAGGCATAAGAAAAGAGTACCAATCAAGAGTTAGGCTAGAGATAACAAGATCAGTTCAGTCAGGGAGGAGGAGGCCCACTTCTAGCAGCTGATGGAAGTGGGCCTTATTCTACCTGACTGAATTGATCTCATTATCTGTAGCCTTACTCTTAATTGGTATCAAGTATCAGAGGGATGGCAGCTTTTCCTCTCTTGGAATTCATACCTCCAGATCAGCTACTAGAAGTGGGCCTCATCCTCCCTAATTGGATCCACCTCATCATCTCCAGCCTGATTCTGGCCTGCATATTTATATCTGCCTCTGGAAATTTCCACTACATGCATCTGATGATGTGGGTCTTTGCCCATGAAAGCTTATGCTCCAACAGTTCAGTTAGTCTATAAGGTGCCACAGGACTCCTCCCCGCTCATTCAATCAAGGAATAAAAAAATATGAACAGGAACATAACACCAAGTATACATGTTGTGTCCAAATATATTTATAACTGATTTAGACCAACTGACATTAACTGAGATTTTACAATGTATTCATCTCAATACATATGGATTTGTTGGGGGCCATAAAAGATAGATATTGCCAAATTACCTCGGGGGCCGTATTAAACCGGAACACGGGCCGCAATTGGCCCGCGGGCCGGACTTTGGACATGCCTGGTCTATATGGTACCACACAGGACTCCTCATCGCTTTTGCAGATTCAGACTAACATGGCTACCCCTCTGATACAGGTCCCTTTTATTTTCTTAGGATTTAGGATTCCTAATTTTAAACAATCAATTTTGAAAACTTTGGCTAAATGATTTGGTTGTGAGCACATCAGCAGTGTAGGTGGAATTAAAGCCCAGAAGCTCTCCTTCCTAATCCCCTTCTCTGATCATAAACAGCTGTCAGGGATTGTCTAGGTATACTTAATCTTGTCTCAGCACAGGGTTGGACTAGATGACCTCTTGAGGTCCCTTTCAGCCCTACACTTCCATGATTTGGTAATGCTGCCTCCCTAATACATTTTTCAAAGGAAACATGATAAGACTAACATGAAATCGCACCTTAAAAGAGACAAAATCCATCCAATGACCCTAAGTGGTCAGGTATATTGCTATATAAGAGCATATGTTGTAAAATCAGGGATAGCATACATGCATTCCTGGCTATGGTGTAATAGGCACTCGTTAAGGATTACTCAATTTGGATCAGATATACTGGCCCAAAATGTGCCCTTGGGTAAGTGCACACAGCTTCTGTTAGCATGTTGTATGCACATGCATGAGAGCAGTGTGAGATCCAGGCAGTATAGAAATAAAGCCATATGCAATATATTCATCTTTGTTCACAGTCTCAACAAACTGATGATCATATACCTGGTGATGATTGGTCATCTATATTAGGAGCTGTAATTTTGAGAAGAAGAGCACAGCTCTTATTTTGGAGAAAGGGGAAGGCCAGAGGCAAAGACATAATTTTATATCTTGGGAATATTTTTCAAATCAGATTTGTTAAATTTTGGGTCCACTTGCAACTATTCTTGTAAGGCTGTCAGAGATCTTGTGAAATGTTATTTTTAAAGGCTTTTTTCAGTTATTGTGACTACTAACTGTAACTGGCATGTTTGACTGATGTATTTAGATACAAGCAGGTCCTCAACTCCAGCTACATTAGCCTCTGACCCAGCAACTTGTCCCATCATCCCAGGATGTGAAACAACCATTGATATCTCCAAGGGACGAACTGGACTTGGATTGAGCATTGTTGGGGGAGCAGACACTTTACTGGTTTGTAAAAATTAGCGATATTTCATAATGAGTTGACTGTACAAATTGTAAGTCCCTAATAGAGAATGTTACTCTAAAGATGAATACATTATTTAGGCAAGTGACTGGAGTCAGTTTGTCTGTCTGAGACTAGTTGCCCTGAAGATTGCACCACACATTTTTTTATTAATATTTTTTCAAATGGGAGAAAGTAACTTCTTTAAATATCTTTTGCCTTTCAAGTGGAGAATCTGATTTCTCTTACAGCATGCTGATTTCTTAAGTTGCTGGTTCTCGTACTAGGATTTTTAGAACGTGTTCTGCAAAACCAAAGTTTGGACCAGTTCCAGTGCATACAAGCAGTGTTGTTCAGGGGTGTAATATATTTTTATATTTAATCCACAGGGAGCTATTATTATCCATGAAGTATATGAAGAAGGAGCAGCGTCCAAAGATGGAAGGCTCTGGGCAGGAGATCAGATTTTAGAGGTGTAGTCTTGTGTATACCACATTTAAATGCCTTTCGGTGAACTCTAGTAATTTAACTCATGAAAATACTGAGTCAACATGTGGTTACATTGTAGGTGAATGGAATTGACCTCGATAAATGTTCTCAGACAGACACCCCAAAAAGTCCGTCTCACTGTCTACAGGGATGAGGCCCAGTACAAGGAGGAAGATATGTACGATGTACTCAATATAGAGCTCCAAAAGAAGCCAGGCAAAGGCCTTGGATTAAGCATTGTTGGGAAAAGGTATGAAATTAATGGAACTACATTGATTTACCCTAGCTCAGGATCTAACCTTTGGAGTGTACAGCCAACCCCAGGATTTGGGGAATGAAAAAAATGAATCCTCTATTCCCAAACTTTGCTCCTCCACTGTAGCTAAGTTGTTTATCTTCATAAATCGGCTCTATGCTAGTATGTTGTTAAACAGTCTCAGTTTATTTTTTGAACAAAACAAAAATAAAAAGTGAACATAATTTTAGTATGGGCCCAGTCTGTCCCCTTGTATTGGGATTACTTAGCAAGGAAGATACTGCTCAATGTACCTGAGGGTGGGACATGGAATCTGTCGCACATTTACTCACCATTAATACTAGGAAACAGTTTCTCACTTCCAAGGAAGTCTTATTAAAATATGGATAGTAAAATGGTACAATGAGAGACAAGGATAAATCAAAATAAAATTATGTGTTTGCAGAAATGATACAGGAGTATTTGTGTCAGACATTGTCAAAGGAGGAATAGCAAATACAGATGGGAGACTGATGCAGGGAGACCAGATATTGACAGTAAATGGAGAAGACGTTCGAAATGCTAACCAGGAGGCTGTTGCTGCTTTGTTAAAGGTAATTGTAAAAAATAGAGTTGGAAACAAACTGCAGAATTTAGAACTAGAGTCAAACTGTCCAATATTCTTGTTCAGACTGTCCTAGAGTTGGGGGTAGTGAAGATCTTTGGAGCCAAATCTGAACTTTCTCAGACAATCTCAGACTGGATTTTCCACTGTCCAGTGATGGAGATACCACAGCCTCCCCAGGCAATTTATTGCAGTGTTTGACCACCCTGACAGGAAGTTTTTCCTAATGTCCAACTTAAACTTCCCTTGCTGTAGTTTAAGCCCATTACTTCTTGTCCTATCATCAGAGACCACGGAGAACAATTTTTCTCGCTCCTCCTTTTAACACTCTTGGGCTACGTCTACACTGGCCCCTTTTCCGGAAGGGGCATGTTAATTTCAGCTATCGTAGTAGGGAAATCCGCGGGGGATTTAAATATCCCCCGCGGCATTTAAATAAAAATGTCCGCCGCTTTTTTCCGGCTTTTAGAAAAGCGGGAAAAGAGCGTCTACACTGGCCCCGATCCTCCGGAAAAAGCGCCCTTTTCCGGAGGCTCTTATTCCTACTTCAAGGAGGCTCTTCCTACCTTAAAGGGGCACGGGCTGGCTACGGTGCCCGTGCCAGGTGCAAGCCTGCCAGCACCCAGCCAGCAGACACTGCACCTGGCATGGCTCGAGCCAGCCACCCGCTGCCACCCAGCCCTCCCCCTCTTCCCGGGACCAGGCTGGCGGCTCCTGGGAGCCTGCCCGGGTCCGCAAGAGGCGGGCGTCCGCCTGGTCTAGTGTGGACATCGTGGACCTCATCCACGACCTCCGCACTAGGCACAGGAAAGTGGCCGTCTAGGGCAGGATACCTGCCAGCCTGGCCACCCGGGAGCAGGTGTGCATGAAAATCAAGGTGGTCCACTGAGACCCCCGCCCCTGAGCCCTGAGCTTAGAATGTCCGTACTGGGTCAGACCAAAGGTCCATCTGGCCCAGTAGCCTGTCTGCCGACAGCGGCCAACGCTAGGGACCCTGGAGGGGAGGGACCGAAACAATGACCAAGCCATTTGTCTCGTGCCATCCATCTCCAGCCTTCTACAAACAGAGGCCAGGGACACCATTTCTACCCCCCGGCTAATAGCACTCCATGGACCCAACCTCCATGACTTTATCTCACTTCTCTTTAAACTCTGTTCTAGTTCTAGCCTTCACAGCCTCCTGCAGCAAGGAGTTCCACAGGTTGATTATTTGCTTTGTGAAGAAGAACTTTCTGTTATTAGTTTGAAGCCTGCTTACCCATTCATTTCATTTGGTGTCCTCTAGTCCTTCTATTATGGGAACTAATGAAGAACTTTTCTTTATGCACCCTCTCCACACCACTCATGCTTTTATAGACCTCTATCATATCCCCCCTCAGTCTCCTCTTTTTTAAGCTGAGAAGTCCCAGTCTCTTTAGCCTCTCTTCATATGGGACCTGTTCCAAACCCCCTGATCATTTTAGTTGCCCTTCCCTCTCCCACTCTCTCTCTTCCCCTCTCCCCCCTCCTTTCCCCAGTTTCCCCAAGTTTTGTTCAATAAAGAGAGTTTCTGTTTTTGAACACACGTGTCCTTTATTTTTTACATCAGGAAGGGGGGCTAGGGAGGGGTAAGTGGAAGGAGGTGAGGGAGGAATGGGGTACGAGCCCCCGATGGGGAGGCCTGGGCTGGCTCTGTGGGCTTCTCGGGGTGGAAGCTCTCCTGAAGCCCCTTGATTGACCCCCCTTCCGGATGGCAGCCTGCAGCAAGTGCAGCCGGGCTGATGGCAGAGTGCTGTGATGTGCTGAGTGTGGGCACTCAGGGCACCCCAAGCCAGGACTTCTTTGCAAGCGGGGAACCCCTGAGAACTGTCTGTCTGGGGTGAGGGTCGGGTTCCTTTAAGCACAGCCCTCGGCTAGCCTGAGGCAGCAGCTCCACGCTCTAAGTCCTAATCTGATGCCCTGCCGGCACTGCTTCCAGCCATCCTTAACCTCAGTTCAGGGTCCACTCAGTGTGGACATGCTAGTTCGAATTAGCAAAACGCTAATTCGAACTAATTTTTAAGTCTAGATGCACTAATTCGAATGAGCTTAGTTCGAATTAACTAATTCGAACTAAGTTAGTTCGAAATAGTGCTGTAGTGTAGACATACCCTTGTAGATAAATGAAAACTGCTATCATGTCCTCTCTCTGTCTTCTCTTTTCTAAGCTAAACAAGCCCAATTTTTTCAGTCTTCCTTCATAGGTCATGTTTTCTAGACCTTTAAATCATTTTTGTTGTTCTTTTTCTGGACCTTTTCCAATTTTTCCACATCTTTCCTGAAATGTGGTGCCCTGAACTGGACACAGTATTCCACTTGACGCCTAATTAGTGCAGAGTAGAACAGAAGAATGACTTCCTGTGTCTTGCTCACAACACTCCTATTAATGCAGCCCAGAATCTTGTTTGCTTTTTTTTTTCAACAGTGTCATAACATTTACATTTCTTAAATATTGGCATAACGTTAGCTTTTTTCTCTTGAACTGCCCCCTTGTTCTAAGATCTGTTAAAAATCAGAGCTCCTCAACCATTTCTCTTAATCAGGGCTTCAGTGTGGGTTTGGGTAGTCACAAGCAAAATCTGAAACTGAGACCTTTCCACCCTTCCAAAAAAATTCCACTGAAGGGGAGACTGTGGTCAAGAGGGGGTTGGAGAGTGAGTTTGCATCTCACTCACTGCAGAGCAGCAGCTCAGCTCGTGATCATGAAAGTGAATTTTTACGTACTACTCCCATTTAAGAGAATGGGAATAGAATTAGGCCTTAGTATAGTTGTGACATGTGAATTGTAATGTTCATTTATTAATCCAAATGTTCTACCACGTATTTTATTTCACAGTATATGACTGGTATACTGACCCATTTTGGCTTTGATCCTGCAATGAGCTTCACCTGTGCTGTTCTTTGTTGTGGGATTGGGGCCTGTGTCTACACATCTTCCATAAGATATCATCTGTATCATATATGCCTTTGATTTTAGTGCATTAAGGGGACCTTTTATGGTTGGAAACTGCATTATAAATTTCCCATTTTTCAGTGTTCATTAGGTACTGTAAGACTAGAAGTTGGAAGAATAAAAACAGGTCCGTTCCATTCTGAGAGAAGAACATCCCAGAGCAGCCAGGTTTGTAATTGTGAAGCTGTTTAGTTTGGAAGAAATCAACTGTCGTTAAATAATTCCCCTTATGTGCTTGTATTGATTTCACAGTGACAAAGATTTTCCATATAGTAAGCCCAGGCTGTATAAAAAAGCAGTTTTTATGTATTCACAATTTTTTGTAACCAAGTGGTATGTTAACTTTAGCATATTATGTGTTTAAGGCAATGATGCAGCCAAAAGTTTAACCCATGGATAGCTTTGCTGCATTGCCTGTTGATGATTTTGGGGCCTCCTCCTTGGAGGCAGAGAAATTAACTCCCACTGAAATAAGTGAGAATTGGAGGGTGCTCACATTCTTGCTGGATAAGGCCCTTACTTTAAGAAAGTCCCTGCTGTTACAGATTACTATCCATTAGGCATTTTATTTAGCCCCCCATCACGCTGCCCAGACATACCTACAGAGGGCTGCAAACTATTGAAAAGGTTGAGAAAACAACACAGTTTTAAATGGCTAATAAAGCCAGTCAGAAAATGGAGATTTTTGTCTTTGTCAAGCTTTTCCAGTCATCTCTACTGATCAATTCTAACGTAACTATAAAGTGTTTCATCTTTGGCTTCAATATCTGATGCCTTTTCTACACTGTCAATGACAGGCAGAGTGTATGTGTAGTTAAACACTGCAGTGACAAACTGAATCCATGCTGCAGTGTGTTGCCACACAAGACAGCTAAAGGCTCTGGCTGTGGGAAGGAGGGGTGAAAGGTTCTGGTGGCAGGCAGGTCCTGGCACCTTTCTCCTCTGCCTTCTCCCTCATAGCCTTACCCTGCTGCCGGAGTCTTTTCTCTGAGATGACAGGTACCTCCCTGACTAAGCAGCGCTTTTATCACCTACACGGCCATGCATACTAATATTGGGACAGAGATAGCCTATGTTCTTGGTGTATGCCTAAAAAGTTCCTCATCAAAGACCATCAAGGAACTTGATTCTAAAACAAATTTAGGTCAAATTAGTTAGGATTGAGGTGAAGATTGCAGGATTTGACCTCGATGCGTTAGGTGGAATTTAAGTGGAAGTTAAGATTAAGTAAAGACTGCAGCATTTGGTTGTCCTCAAGTATATATAGACCTTCAGAATATGATTAACGTGAAAATACAGAATCAAGCCTTAACCCAGGCCATCAAGTCTGTAGAAATATATGAATAATTTTAACTTGAAAAATGTATTAAGCCATTGCAGTCTAATAATGATACAGAATAACACAGCTTCAGTCACCTCTCCTCTGATGCATATACACACACAACTAATGTCAGAGTTCTAATGAGAAGAGAGCCTGGCAGGCAGGGACTGCTGCCATGAAGC